CGACGGCGGTGGCGGCGACGGCGGCGGCGGTGATGGCGGCGGTGGCGGCGGCGGCGGCGGCGGTGGTGATGGTGGCGGCGGAGAAGGCGGTGATGGAGAGGGTGGTGGTGCAAAGGGTGGCGGCGATAATGGCGGTGGCGGCGACGGCGGCGGAGGGGAGGGTGGCGGGGGCCGCGGCAACGGCGGCGGTGGCGATGGTGGCGGCGGAGAAGGCGGCGGCACAGAGGGGGGTGGTGCAAAGGGTGGTGGCGGTGATGGCGGTGGCGGGGCCGGCGGCGGAAGAGAGGGTGGCGGGGGCAGCGGCAACGGCGGCGGTGGCGATGGTGGCGGCGGAGAAGGCGGCGGTAGAGAGGGGGGTGGTGCAAAGGGCGGTGGTGGAGAAGGTGGCGGTGAAGAGGGTGGCGGCGGAGAGGGTGGCGGGGGCAACGGCAATGGCGGTGGTGGCGATGGTGGCGGAGGAGGCGGCGGCGGCGGAGAGGGTGGCGGCAGGGATGGCGGCGGTGGCGAGGGTGGCGGCGGAGAAGGTGGCGGCAAAGAGGGTGGCGGAGGCAGCGGCAATGGCGGCGGTGGCGATGGTGGCGGTGGTGAAGGCGGCGGCACAGAGGGAGGTGGTGGAAAGGGCGGTGGTGGAGAAGGTGGCGGTGAGGATGGCGGCGGCGGGGAAGGTGGAGGGGGCAGCGGTGACGGCGGCGGTGGCGTTGGTGGTGGCGGAGAAGGAGGCGGCGGAGAGGGTGGCGGCGGCGATGGCGGTGGTGGCATTGGTGGTGTGGGCGGTGGGGACGGTTGAGGCGGGAGTCCCGGCGGTGACAAGGGCAGCGGGGGTGGTAGCGACGGCGGCATTGAGGGCGGTGGCAAGGAGGGCGGCATTGGCGAAGGCGGCGGTGGCGAAGGGGGCGGTGGCGACGGTGATGGGCTCGGCGGTGGGAGGCGCGGCGAAGGCGATGCTGGCGGTGGTGACGCTGGGGGTGACGATGGTGGCGTCGACGGCGGGGGCGGGGACGGCGGGGGCAGGCAGCCATCGACCTCTGTGTCACTGCACTTGGTTTCGCCGTCCTCTGGACCGAAGCACAGCCTTGCTCGACCGGATGGCGCGTCCTTCCAGGCAAAGGAAGCCGCACAGTCGGCGGTGTCGGCTTTTTTGCACTTTGAGACCTCGGTCCGCCCTGCCAAGTCGGCACAGGTGAGCGGTGGCGGCGACGGCGGTGGCGGAGATGGAGGGGTGGATGGTGGTGCGGAGGGCGAGGCGGAGGGCGGGGGCGGCGACGGCGGGGGAGGGGATGGCGAGGGCGGGGACGGCGGGGGCAGGCAGCCATCGACCTCCGTGTCACTGCACTTGGTTTCGCCGTCCTCTGGACCGAAGCACAGCCTTGCACGACCGGATGGCGCGTCCTTCCAGGCAAAGTAAGCCGCACAGTCGGCGGTGTCGGCTTTTTTGCACTTTGAGACCTCGGTCCGCCCTGCCAAGTCGGCACAGGTGAGCGGTGGCGGCGACGGCGGTGGCGGAGATGGAGGGGTGGATGGTGGTGCGGAGGGCGAGGCGGAGGGCGGGGGCGGCGACGGCGGGGGAGGGGATGGCGAGGGCGGGGACGGCGGGGGCAGGCAGCCATCGACCTCCGTGTCACTGCACTTGGTTTCGCCGTCCTCTGGACCGAAGCACAGCCTTGCACGACCGGATGGCGCGTCCCTCCAGGCAAAGGAAGCCGCACAGTCGGCGGTGTCGGCTTTTTTGCACTTTGAGACCTCGGTCCGCCCTGCCAAGTCGGCACAGGTGAGCGGTGGCGGCGACGGCGGTGGCGGGGGCGGCGATGGCGATGGAGACGACGGTGGAGGAGGCGAGGGTGGCGGCAAAAATGGCGGAGGTGACGATGGCGGTGGAGGCGACGGGGGAGGAGGCGAGGGTGAGGGTGGCGGCAAAAATGGCGGAGGTGACGATGGCGGTGGAGGCGACGGGGGAGGAGGCGAGGGTGAGGGTGGCGGCAAAAATGGCGGAGGTGACGATGGCGGTGGAGGCGACGGGGGAGGAGGCGACGGTGGCGGCAACGATGGCGGAGGTGACGATGGCGGTGGTGGCGACGGTGGAGGAGGCGAGGGTGGCGGCAACGATGGCGGAGGTGACGATGGCGGTGCAGGCGACGGGGGAGGAGGCGAGGGTGGCGGTGCCGAAGGAGGTGGATCTAAGGGAGGAGGCGGGGATGGCGGCGGGGATGGCGGCGGGGATGGCGGTGGCGGTGACGGCGGCGGAGGACTGGGGGGTGGGCCGGCGCTGTAGTAAGCGATTCGCAAAAGCGGTGCGGCGGACGCGCTGCCGTCGAACGACAGCGCGGTGCGGATGCCCGTGCTCGTTTCGATCCGGAACACGATCGCACCGCCCGAAGCCCACCCTGTGCGGCCCACCACCGCCTGCACAAGCGCCGCCATGTCAGGCGTTGGAGGCGGCGTCTCTCCGACGGCCCACACGTCGATCGCCTCCCACGCAGGTGCGCGCCCTCAACCGCGCCGGCTCAGGCCCGTGGAGTGCAAGGATCATCGGCACGACGCATCTGCCCTCGGTGGCACCGGAGCGGCTGCCGCGCGTGAGCGAGCTCCGTGTTCAGCGCGACTCGTGCGCCGTTGAGCTCCTTCTGCGCGTGTCGGCGGAGGATGACTACGGGGCGGGGCCCGTTTGCGCGGGCGCAGAGTACCTGCCTGATAAGATGCACGACTAGAGACGCAAATGCACTCGTGTTGGGTGAAGTGGCGTCACGAGCGGTCATTGCCATGGGCCTCACGCAGTAAGCTTCCTTTCGCAGGTACATTGAGGTGCAGGGACAGCGAGCGGGAGCGACGAGGTGGACGACGGTGCTGCAGCGCGCTACCGCGTCCCGCGTCGCTCTCCGCGACCTCGACCACGGTGGCGCCACTTGGCGATTCCGCACCGTCGCACACAACCGCTTTGGCGTCTCTGAGCCGTCAATCCCGTCGGAAGAGGTCGTTTACTGTCTCTCCTTCTCACCCTCGCCCACCCTCGCCCACACTCGCTCACCTGCCCGCCTCTGTGCAGGTGCTGCCCGGCTTGCATGCTACCGTGCTCGCCTCGCCGCCGCGGGTGCACGCCACCGGACGCACCACCGTCCGCATCCCGCTGCCGCGAGGGCTCAGCTGCCAGCCGGACCTGGAGTGGCTCATCCAGGTGGAGCTCCCACGACCTGCTCTTGCCACATTCCCTGGCAGCTCCCAGTTCTCTTCTCCCGTCTCTGCTCCGCCGCACACGGCTCCCTGCCCCCGCTCTTGCTCAACGCTGCCCGTCTCCGCCTAGGTGAGCGTCGGTGATCAAGGCAGAGAGCGGGAGGGCGAGGAGGAGGGTGCAAGGCGATGGCAGGTGCTCGCAATCGCGCGGGCCGGCACCACCTACACTGCCGAGAAGATCAACTGCGCCGCCGGCTGCGCCTTTCGGCTGCAGGCCGTCGTCTCTGGCTTTGGCCCCGACGGAGGCTCCTCGCTTGTGACGCCGGAGGCGGTGCTATCCGCGGCCGACTTTGGGCTGCCGACTTGGACTGCCGCGCCGAGGGAGCGCAAGGGGCCTAGTCCGCGCGCGGAGGGCGCAGTGAGTGATGGTGTGGGCGGCGGCGGCGCGTCGGCGCTCTCGAAGCTGTTGCTTCCGCTGGCGCTGCTCGCGCTGGCCGCTAGTGCGTGGCGATGCCTCCGGAGCCGTAGCTGCCGTCGAGCTCGGCCGTCGGGCGTGCTGCCTCTCGAGGACGACGAGGAGGATGACGAGGAGGAGGAGGAGGGCGAGGGTGGCGCTAGCGGTCGTAGGGTCCGGAGGGCGGCGAGCGAGGAGGAGGAGCCAATGGTGCGTGTCGCGAGGGCCTCGCTTCACGAGCAACCGAAGCGGTATTACCTTTAAAAGATAGAGCGTCCCGCTCATCGCTCGCTCGGTGTGTCGTGAGTAGTAGTTACCACTTCGTTCGGCTCTTTTTACCCAGCCGATCGTGCTGTCATTGTGCATGGTCAGGGGGAGGCAGGGGAGCAATGCGGTATGCGCCGTCGTCTCTCAGCAAGGATGAAGGAAACGACAAGATCCGACCCGCCGCACCGTCTCATCCGACTGTTGCACTTCTCCTGTGGGACGACAGCCCACAGGGCACACGCAATTTACTCTGTGAGACCCCGCACACGCACGCGCTCATCCCGCACCGCTCTCCGGTGGCTGCACGCTAAAGGACTGCCGGCAGCCGACGCACGTGAGCGACATCCGCAGCGGCCGCGCTCCGCCCGTGTGCGGCGGCAGCGTGAAGCGGCACGCCACTCCGCAGTGGGGGCAGCTCGCCTGGAAGATCGCCCGCCGGGGCGGCGTCGGCGGTGGCGCCGCCCCGGCGCCGTCGGGTGTCGCGGGCCCGCCGCCGCCGCCAGAGTGCGCTGCGGGCGGCGTGGCGGGCGGCTGGACGGCGAGAGAGCCGGGCGGCGGCGGAGACGCTGGCGGCGGCTGCTGTGGCGGCGTCTGTTGTGGCGGCGGCGGCTGCTGCTGCGGCGGCTGCTGCTGCTGCTGCTGCTGCGGCGGCGCGGCGGACTCGTCTCGCGCACGCGGCGTGGCGCTCGGCGGCGGCTGGCTCGCGACGCGGAAGCGCGCGGTGCAGCGCGGGCACTCGTAGACGGTCCCTCCCGCCGCCTACGGCGCGGTTCCGAGAGGGGTGGGGGGAGCCTCCCCAGAGAGTGGCGCGTACTCGCCCGGCCGTCTCGTCCACTGCCGCGCCTCGGCGGCGCGCACGCGCAGCTGGTTGGAGCACTGCGGGCAGGCGACCACCTGTGAATGAAGTACGAGCATCACGAACCAATTGCGAGCAGTAGTTCATCAGCACCGCGCGCAGGCCACCACCTGTTCACAACCACCCGCTGCTGGTTGGAGCTGTGAACAGCTGGTTGGAGCGCCGCGCGCGGGACCACCACCAGCGCGTCCGCCGGCGGCGCCTCGCTCGCCCGGCCTGCGAGCGCCTCGGCGCCCGCCGAGACGGCGGCCTGAGCGCCGGCGGCGGCCTGCGCGGCCGCGGCGGCGACGCCGGAACCGAGCGCGCCGAGTTTCTGGGGAGGGAGCTCCGCCCGGGGGAGAGGGCT